AAAGAGAAATTAAAAATGCTGCCATGAAAGAGTTCGGGACTTAGGAGGTTATTCCTATACATTATTATACATTATACATTATTATAAGCAAATCAGTGTGGTCCTGCAGCCGCCTTTAGCATCAATAACTTGAATTGTTTTCTGTACGACTTTATCAGTCTTCCACATCGTTGTGCAGGAATCTTGGCCCGCTGGTCTTTACAGCGTTGCAAGAACTGAGGTTTGCAAGAACAAGGTCCCGGTGAGGTCTGGAGAACACTCGGTCACTGCAGCACCTTTGCAGCTATCCTGTTGTAGAGTTACTGCTGTGCTTTTTCTGTTGCATGAACATATTTCAGCCAAGCCGCTGCTGTTTGTGTTCGACTCAATAACTGTAAAGTGTCCAGTTTCTGTGGCTGCAAAACGAACCCAAACCATCACGCCTCCACCACTGTGCTCGACAGCTGGCGTGCTGCGTTTGGTTTCCTGCAAACGTGGAGCTGTGCATTATTGTCGAGCATTTCCTTTTTGGTCTTGTATGTTCAAAGACACTGGCACCACGTAAGGTCTACTGTTGAGTAAAACTTGCTGGTGGAGATGAGATCACTCGCCTGTCTGTGTGTGCAGATGTTTCCCCGGGGGTCCAGTAGAGGCCATGGGTCGAATGAGTGTGGGGAATTCCTGCACGTGGGGTTTGGAGTGTTTTCATAATGGCGCTAATTAAGATTAAAATATATAATATTTAATTAGAAATAGAATATTAGAAAGTGTGATTTGTGTTGCAGTTGGAAGGCTTGACTTGCCTTTAATTGTCCATGGAGTTATTTTGCTTCCACCATACTCTGCCTCAGCCTTCATCACCACTCATAGTCCAGTGGCAAAGGCCAACCTTGTGGTCTGAGGTTTGTGCAACTTTGCTTTCTAAATGTATTGTCATGAACTTTAAGGTGCTAATGGAGGCCCGTAGGGATTGGCATGTAGTCTTTGGGGTTGTTTCAATTTCCCTGACCACTGCACAGTATGCAACTGGGGTGGATTTGCTGGGATGTTCACTTCTGGTACGACTGGCAGCTGTCTTGAATGTGTCCCACTTGTGAATAATCTTTCTCACGGCAGAATGATGGACCAGATTGTTTGAAAATGGACTTATGACCTTTTTCAGATTGATCGGCAGCAAGAATTGCTTTTCTTAGATCACTGCTGGTGTATTTCCTGAACACACCTGAATGCTTCAGACCTGCAAACTGCTAAAACTTCTGCTTATGATCAGTTGATCAAATGCATTTAATTAGCAGCGCCTGGCTGCATCGTAGCTTCTCAGTTCCTATGGAAGCAGTAAGGATGTATGTAGTTTTTCCACAGGACTCCACTGTTTTGTTTTTGCACAGCTATAGTGTGGCATTTTTAGTGTGGACTGCTCATTATTAGGAAAACCATTCAGTTTACCTGCAACACTAACAAGATCTCCACTGACCTCAGCTGCACAAAAGGTTTTAGTCCTTAAAGTTAACAGGTTAGCAGATTACACTGAGGATGTGATTCTTTCTGAGCATCATGTTGGCGCTCCAGCTTTAAGCATGTAAGCATTGCACTTGTAGCATGATGGTAGACACCTCTGAGGGATAGATCTGCACAAAAATGACTAATTATTAATAAAACTATCTCAAAATCTGCCTAAAAATGCTTGAATGAGTCACAGAGTATCACTGTGTGATATTCATTATGAACATAATCCCACATATACCCAGTGTTGGGAAGGTTACTTTTAAAATGTATTCCATTACAGATT